GGATTGTGAGGATATATATATATATATATATTTATATAAAATTCTATAATTGAGAACGTAAACAAATAATAAATGAGCTACACCTATAAATATGTGCACGCAAAAGAGTCCAGGGAGAATATAATTATAAGTGTTCTTTGGTGACGCGCCGGCAAGGTCATTCAGATCGACGTATATATATGCCTCGAGGCTAAAGAAACGCGGCAGAGCTCCCAGCATCCATTATTGCGTCGTTAGAGTACCCAAGTACTTTCGAGCCCCAGCCCCTCATATAGTACATTATAATAGATAGTATGGACACACTACGAGATTTCAATAGTGGCTCGCCTACGGCGGCGGTGGGCCCCTCCACGAGAAGTTTGAGAGCCATGAATCGCTTATCGCGCCCGTCATCCCTGACCTGCTCTCTATAACTCTCCGAGCTACCATTCCCCTATCCTCGTAGTCGCTCTGCACGAGTACAAAAGATCGAGGGTGTCGCATAATAAGAAGAGAGTGCATCGAGCGGAGTCCTCTTTTCGGCTGTTATTTTCAATGACGCTAAAAGCAGGAGTATACGATTAAAGACGTATAAGCGCGGTCGAGCTATTCTATCGATATCTCGTGAGTAAAATGATTTGAAAAGAAAGAAAGGCAAAGAAATGGGTACACCATCTATTATCAAAATATAATAATAATAATAACAACAACAACAACAATACCAATATGTACCTACAATTAACTATAGTGAAATGTGATGTATTTTTAATTGATATTAAAATATTATTGCATCATCAATTTTTCCATCTTCCAACTTTGTGACGTAGTTCATGGACCAACAAATACAATTGTGGAGAGCAGCAGGTATCGAGTGTAAGGTTATTTTGGCGATATGGCACCGTTTATCTCGACGAGGCCCCGTGTCATTCGTCCGCCACTGTATTTATCAATTCCGTGTCATTCGTCCGCCTCTTTCTAAGATCCTTGCGTATAGGTACATACTTGAATTTCATGCCTCGAGACTATTCTATTCTCATTCTATTCTCTCCTCGGAGCGTCTTATCGCGAACGATGGGCCATTCCAGTAAATATGAGGAACGATAGGAAAAAAAAAAAAAAAAAATGCTCATCAAAGTTTCACTCGACACCCTATACGATTGGCCTCGCCATTCCGTGCGCACCATGCATTGGAGCGATTGGATAGGTATTGCTCCTTGTCCCTTGATAGCCCCATCATCAAGACGCTCTACATCGTATGTATAGTATGAATAAACCAGTAACTTTGCGTTATGTCAAGTGATTGAGCTACCTTCAGCCGGTGGGACACAATCAAAGGAATTCTTTGGACTTGCAGGCAACTCGAAAGTCATCACGACTGTGTCTCCTCATCCTCCCCTATATGTTATATAGTAGTATAGCATCGCGAGACAGCAAAACAAAACAAAAATTGCCCTCGTACATTTATACAAGCGGTAGGTACGCCAACAGTAGTATACCTACTCGTATTATATAAGGTACAAGGAGCAGAGGAGGACGACGATGTTGTTGCGCTTTATGGGACGTAAAAGCATTGTTACCGAGTCGTTGCCAGAAAAGAAGCGAGGAAATGGTTCGGCGCTCGATAAGTTGAGCCGGGAGAGACGAATGGCGTGTGAAAAAAAAAAAAAAGGGGAGACAAACCACGAGACGGAGTGAACGATACAAGTTCCGAGGCTCGTAAAAATCGCGATGGCGCTAATTTCGACTGTAATGCCGGCGATGAGGTCGTAAAGTACTATAATATATTTATACTCTTTCGCGTCTGTATGGTTCTCGCCCTCTCCATAACGAACGAAACGCTCCAAGAGTCACGCTTCGTATGCAATCAAGTGCCAATCAAAGAGTCAGTCCGGTGGGGAAGCCTCGTGCCGAGGGGAAAAAAAAAAAAAATACATAAAATAAATAATAATAATGGTATATACACGTACCCTTGGTGAGGGTCATGGTTCTAGAGCCCTCGAGGGGACTGAAGAGCCCGTTGCAGGTGGCGTCGCCGCTCTGGGCGACCTTGTAGAGCTCGGGCGTGCCCTCGGGGACGGGCCGAGCGGGGGCCGAGGCCAAGATCTCGTGGTCGAGAACGGTGGCTATGCCAAGGGCCGCGGCGGCTGCCCTGTTGGGACCAGCGACGCTCTGCCCAGCCCGTTCGTACACGAAGCACCTGTAGCGCTCCTCGTTGCTCAGGGAGTGGCCGTTGTGCAGCCGGCCGACCAGGTAGCGATTGCTCCCCTCTTTCCACGTCGCCAGGCACTCGAGCTCCTCGACTGGTTAATCATAAGTATATTCAATTTATTATTTTATACTCGTCGTGCGCAAATTGTTAAAAAAAAATAAAACTTTTTTTTGTTTTTTTGTTTTTGTTTTTCAGTAGTTCATACGCCGTATCATTTAAAACTCGAGTCTCGTCCGCTGTGGGCCCTCGTTGTAGTTTAAAAGTATGCCCAACTGTGGACCAGGAGAGGAACAAAGACACGAGAACAAAGAAGCCAAAGGGGCGGCAGCGTCCATCCCTCTTTAACTTTGGCCTGTACGAGGTACTACTCCGCGCGTTTTTTATTCTCTCATCCGTATAGGGCTCGAGCTTATCGCGTGCATGGACTATGGCTCCGAACAAAAGTAATCAAGATCCTATAGGAAAAAATAGGTGCGTCAGAGTCACCCCACGTCCTCACTGACGATAACAATCGGAAAAAAAAAAAGAAAAAAATAGCCGACACGCTCTTTTATGCTCATTTTCTATGTATCAGATGGGTTCGACTGGATTGTGAGGTATCGATCGGCTTAGTTCACAAGTATACCTACCGGGGAAAAATTTACCGGGCATGACGGAGTGTTTTTCGAGAGATCTATTTAACTTGAAAAAGGTAGGGCATCCACAGCATCAGCATTTTCTCTCTGATGTTCTCCCCTTAAATTATCTCCGTTACTTCTCCTACTGGTCTCCCCCCCCCCATTTTTTTACCCTTCTGACCCTATACGCTACATGATTATAATATACACGATATATGTCTACCACAACCCAATAATCCAATAACCCTAACTTCACAGCTATTGTTGGTTTTAAACTGATAATGATCTACCAAAGATCACAGTGTAGATATAATATATTATACCGACATTGTTGGTCGTGACTACTTAATAGGCGTTCATGTATTCCTACGCTTTTAATGTTTTGTAAAATACTAAAGTTACCGTAAAACGTTAACAAATTCACCCGATGGGCGTGCCCTACTGCAGGGAGTACGCGAGCAACGAGCTGTGCTGAAATTTTCTCGTGTGACGATAAGTAACGCACGAGTAAAGAGTTTTGTCGGGAGCACCGAGAGAAACATCGTCACGATGCATTCGGTGAGGGCATTATACATAAATTTCACAAAAGCTCGTGTATTACCGCCACTGCAGGCTGTTCTCGCGGAAACGGAGGATGTACAACATATACTTAACCTGTCTCTGCTCTCGCACACACCGTATCTATATACTTACTCCTCGGAGTAGCTGCTCCCGGAAAAACAGCACGTCAGCCGCGGGCAATACATTTTTATTCCCTCGGAAACGCTCGATCGCAGTTGAAAAAAAAAAAAATACATATAATGGTTAGGGACTTTGTACTGTCAGGTTCTCCGAGTGTAGGTGTACAGAAAATTTCTGTTTAGTGCGATCGAAGATTAACTGTATACAGCATCGCTCGCACTGTTTGGGTTGAAGAAGCTACAGGGGTCTGACCGGGGCATTCGATATCTCGCTCAAGTAAGCAGTTTTTTCGATAATGCCTATAAAATAACCAAAAATAACGATAATGTTTAGGGATTATCGAAAAAACTGCTTACTTAAGCGAGATATCGAATGCCCCTATCAGACCCCAGTTGAAAGGGGAAAGTACAACTTAAAGGGAGCCCCGGGCCTCGGTCCAATTAGCAAAATAACTCGTACGCGCTCTCTCGCAGGATAAAAAAATCGAGCTTGGACCGGCCAGCCGATTTGCCAGCGGTCGGCTAACGGTTATCGCGCTCGGAGATGAAACAGACTCTCCCAACTTTCTTGCGCCCGCGCAGGGGCTGAGAAAGTTTTCGTCTTACCTTATTCCGATTGCTTCTTTTTTATTTTTTCTTTTCTTTCTTTTCCGCTGTACCTACATTTAGAAACTTTATTTATGATCTACAACAAAGCTAACTCTTTAAAAGGCGACTGCGATTTTTTTCAACAGTACTTACTGTTGCGCACTTAATTAATTACAACTCTGAAACTGAAAGAAAAAAAAAAAAAAAATAAATAAATAAAAAACATATACCATTGCGTAAGTCTCAAACACGACCAATGTTTCGTTAAGTGGACGCGTTATGTAAAACTATCCACATGATATTACGAAATCTTACCCCAAGAGGTCATTGTTATCCACTTTCAAGAAATATATAGTTTTACCGTAATGAGCATAACCCAATTAGACCCTCAAATTGTAGATATGTATATATGTGCCGGTACAACCTACTTGGCTCAAGCGTCGCACACATGCTCCCTCACTTGACGGCTCAACTTTTCATCAACACGCGCGCACACCCACTCGTTGATATCTAAATTACATCTCGCGAAAAAGTTCCCCGAGCCTGGTATAAGTATATAGGAGCTGCGCACTTCTTTGCCGCTCGAGACTCCTCTCTCTCTCTCTCTACCCTTACCCCGGCAACTCTCGCTTGCGAGTCCAGCAATTTGCGAGAGAGCGAAAAACGTGACGGCGAGTTCGCGAAAGCCCATCGACTCTTTCGGGCGGAAACGCTTTCCAGACGCTCTTTTTCTCCCCTCGCGGCCCGCAAAAAATTTTTTCCCTCATTTGCTCTGGCGAACGAGCGACCTCGTGTCGTCGTCGTCGTGACACTCTATACGCGGCTTGGACTTTTTTTTGGCGCCCCTCGACGAGAGTCTTCTCCGCTAGCTAATTGAGGACTTTTCCGAGGGTGAATCCGTAATGGCTCATACCTTTCAGTTCCAAAGTTACTTTTTTTTTTTTTTTTTTTTTTTTTTTTTTTTTTTTCTTCTTAACTCCTTATTCATTCATCATCGTCATTATTAGCAGTATTTTTGTCCAATTAATCAATACATCATTGCTTTTTAAGGGCATAGTTCTAAAAACTGTTAATTTTCTCAAAAATGTATTGACAGTATCGTTAAAAGTATATCCATCGCGGTTTCGCGGGTCGCGAACAAGTGTGCCGACTTTTTGCATAACGGCCGGACTATTCAAAGTGGACCTTGTTAATAAAATATTCATAAATTACGGCCCCACAGTTACCGCCCGTAGCTATCCCGTCATCGTGGGGCTGCAATGAATAAGTCATTTATGTTAAATATTCGCCTCGTCGTGGTGGTCGGGTGATTTTAAAAGCCACGATGAAACAGTTTCGCCATTCGTCATCGTCGTTCCAAAATAGCTGCCATCGTGCTTTTGGGATGCAAAAGGGCCATGGGATGTATGACTATACCTTTCTATATTATGTAATGATCCGCTCCACTTCTCGACAGCCCCCCACCAAATGAGAGAACAATAATTTTATTTCTTTTGCCTATATTATTTTAAGCATCTAAAAACATCGTGAACCTCCCCCACCATCCCTCCATAGTTCCGCGGGGTCCCCCACCTGTACCCCCGCGACATTTAACCGGGCTATTGGGCCATGTAGAAAAAATAAAAAAAGGGGGCGTAGCAGCTTTCGTCACGATTATAGATTTATGGAGCGAGTTCCATAAATCGTTTCGAACGGGGGAACATCGGACTCGACATTCGTGATAGCTAATTTGCGGGCACACGAACGATCGTCCGAAAATCAGTCGAGAGCAAACGGAGCGAGCTCGCAAACTGACAAAGTGAGTTAAACTGCGCGAGCAAAAGTGATATCGAGGACTCGCGACGACGCGGACGACCAGAGTTAGTAGAGAGACCGCATGTATGTATACAAATAGAGAGGCACGTAAATAAATGTGTGTGCAGCCGGAGGAACACAAGGAGCGGAGAGATGGAGGGACAGAAATAGAAACTGGAGGTTGTGGGTACGTGCAAAAGTTATGTGGCGGCGGGTATACCTACGTGTGTGTATACATAAACATACACTACGAGCTCGCGCGCCACCCGGTCGATTAAACAAGTATTTAGCGGCTGTCGATCCCGCCCCGTCCTTTCCTTCTCTGCACTGCGTGATTTGTTAATCGAATTCCCGAGGCGCTCGTCTATTTTCCAGAAACTGCTGCTGCCTGCCATCAAAGAGTTTTGTGGTTCATTCTCGAATGAGATGCACCGCATCTAGCTCTTTGATGGCTCTTCTTAATACATGTATATTTGGGTGAATAATGTATAAATGTGGTGATTTTGGGAGGGGGAGAGTCTAGAAAAAAAAAACTCACCTGTGCTCTCGGATGCGTAGACGTCGGGGCAGGCCTGGTACCTAAAGAGCAGCCGGCTCTCGTCTGTGCAGGCGTCGACGTTGCTCACGGGAGTCGAGCACCTCCCATGTCCACGGTTGTACGTGAAGGTCATGGGCCCGTGAAAGGGACACGCAACTGAGGTAGCCTCCTCCCGAAACATCGAAAAGAGCAGGGCGTCGCCAGTTATGTAAGAGCACAGTGAAGACAGGCTGCTTCGACCGTGACAGTATGCTGCAATCAGACAGTGCTTAAATAACATCGTGCCTCTCTCCTCGACCCCCCTTATTTCGATACACTTGCCAGTACTTATTCATTGCTTTGCTAATTGATTCTTTGATCGACCTATTTGTATTAATTTTTTCCCCCCAAACATTTTCCATCCGTCCAAATACTATATTCATCGTCTGACTATTTTTAATTTTTACTACTGAGACTGCACCTACTTACCCGAACTCGAGTTTGCAATTCAAAGGGAGGTGCGCAATATTTCCAGGGCTATTGCACCTAGCTCTAAAACGTTCGCGAGGGCTTTCGGTGCACGCCTTTCGTAGCTCCGTCGATGGAAAAAGCCATGATAAATCACACACCAGAGAGAAGCGAAGCAAATGTGCGCCGGTGACGGGTTTTTAATCACTTAATCATGAAACTCGATACACCCCGCCGCACCATCATCGTTAATCACGCTCAAGTGAATCGTCATTCTCGAAGCAATCGGAAGCAGCATTTGTCCCCTACAATTATTACTCGTGTCATTCAACTTCCTCTCTGCCCTTGGTTTTTTTCAACTCGTCCGTGAGATCAACTTCCATCATTCGTTCTTCGACAAAATACAAAAAAGCTTTTTTTTTTTTTTTTTTTTTTTTTTTCAACTCAATTATTGCAAACAAAGCAAAAGATACGATGAAACAGGCTCAGCTCGAGGGTAACGCAACCCCCTTCCCTTAAATCTTTCAATACACTTCGGTCGATGCGTTGTTCACCTCTTTTTCTCTTTTTTCCCTATTTCGCCTTATTTCTCCCCCCGATCCGGCCAAGATTCGTATTCCCGGTCACGCGCGCAATTTAAAAAAAACCGCACGGGATGGAAAGCTCGAAAAAGTGCAATGTTGTGTTTCCCGCCACTCTTCCTCTCCGGCGCGGGCGACGCGGCAGCAGCTGTCGCTCCTCTCCTTTTGTTTGCCCGCGGCTCGTAGTCTCTGCGGCGTTGGGGGATGGATGTCTGCGGTATGACGCCAGGCAGATTAAAAAGTCGACAAAAAAATGCGGGGCGAAAGAGACCGGAGGCGTAGAGATATGAAGGAGCGGCGCGACGTCAAGCACGGACTTTGACAAATCGTCCTGGAGTAGCTCTATATCGCTTTTTGCTTGGCTTTATTTATTATTATAGCAATGCTACTACTGGCTCTAGTTTGTGGGCCAAATACAGAGAGAGAAAGAGAGAGCTGATTCTCGCGTCAGACCACAGGGTGTCGGTCATTTGTTATTCTTACCTACACCTACACCTATGATTCAGACGTAGATACACGTTCGTTTATTTTGAATATGACAATTTTTACGTTATAGACACGTACTCTCAATCGTCTAGACAAACTATTGGTATTGCTTGGTAAAATCGTCCAACTGCTTTAGGCCGCGAGTTTTTTTATTTAAAATTACTTCACATCGCAGTGCCCGGTGTAATAAACTTCTCGTGATCATTTTTTTTTAGATCAACACTAGCAGCTAGTAACTAATAATTATGTACAACAATTCTTCTGTAATTATTCAATCTAAAATAACGCGAGTGTTTGTATACATTGTCATTTTTTTAAATGTAGATTGATTGCACCGTTTTTTCTCGAAGTTTTTCATACAAAATTGTACCATTTAGGCTCAGGTTCAGTGGTGTACGTAATTGTTTTACGAACAAGGAAAGGATGATTTTCTGTTGAGAAAAAAAAAAAAAAAAAAAAAATTGTTTAACAAACGTGTGGAGTGAAATCAATTTGAAAAAAATGATATCACGAGTACTTTACCCACAACAATTCCCTTGAGCAAAAAAAAAATAGAAAAAAAAAAAAAAACAAGTTCTCCCAGCTCGATTTTTCGCCCGCGGCACATACTCCTATGAAGATTTACAAAGTTTGGCGCCTTCGTGCGCCAAAAGAGGAGCAAGAGACGGGAGGAGTTTATCCAAGGCATTTTTTCGGAATATTCAAAATTTTTCATCCACCGGGCTCTGAGAATTTAAGCCCCGTGCACGCTCATGCGTGTATACATACATATCCCATACCCACCTCTCGGCCATCTAGTAACCTAGAGAGAAAAAGAGAGTCGATGCTAGGGTGGAGGATGTGTGTATGGTTTATACATGTATGCTGGGGAGGGCAGTGGTTTTGCGTTTTCGCGCGCCGGGCGCAAAAAGTGAGGGAGGAGGAGAAAAAAAAGGAGGTCGCGGATGCGCCGCTGAATTATTTCGCGGTATAGCCACGGGGCTGGAGCGAGTTTTACGAATTTTCCGGGAATAAATAAGGATCCGGGATTATTTATGTATGAGAAGCCGGAGGAGGAAGGAAGGGAAAGGGGAATTTTAATAAATCAGTCCGTAATGGCGGACGGCAAGTCGAGTTCGATGGGAAAGTCCTGTTGCGTGGCGCTTGGTGAATTGATGAACGCGCTTGAATAATATAATACTTACAATGCATACATACGTATACTGGTGCACACGAGTGCATTCGATATTTTACTAGCAGCTCCTCTATAGAGGGCACCTTTTTCTTTCTATCGGGATACCCCTGCGTTGTCTTTAAGGTTTTAACCACTGACGTCTCACCCCCCCCCCTTCAATCGTCATTGTGCGTGCACCACAGAAGTATATAGGATACAAGTAATCCTCGCCCCTTGCAGGAAAGCGATCAGTGAGCATCGGTGAGATGATAACGGATAGTTGAACGGATGCAATTGAATACAAAACGATCAGTGTTGGGCCAATTTGTTGGTCGATATCCATGCACATTTTTTAATATATGGAACGGCATATTGAAGACTATCCATCGCACGAGACTAAATTAAATGTTTCGTTCGCTGGTTATGAATTTAGCCCAGAAATAGTGGTGGAAATAAGTTATCCGAGGCGGTGGTAGTACCACCAGCGTGCAATGTATCGCGTGTCTGATGAATGGTCGTTCGCTCAGCTCTAGGTTTATCGTCTTCTTCCTGTATGCATTAAACAGTGCTATAATGCATAACCATTTAAATTCCATTTCCGTGATGAATAAAAAGCACAACTGCTGCTACCACCACCTGGTACGCCTCGCCTATACTGGCCGCGTCCGCGTAAAAAGCGTATACAAAAGTCAGAGGGGGAAAAAGGGTAGGTACAAGCTAGCCGATATCGCGCGAGAAAACAAAGAACAAGAAGAAAAAAGAAAAAATTAAAAAAAAACGAGATAGAGAGGGCTAGCCCGAGAACCAACACCGCATTTGCAAAGTTAATTTAAAAACGCAAGCGTCGTAATGATGTTTTTATCTCCGCGGAATGGCCTTACGATGCCCTCGCCTTTTATAATAACCCTCCTTTAGAGCCTCCGTTTATCCTCCCCCGTTTCGTTTCTCTCTCTCTCTCTCTCTGCCTCCTCCTTTTATTCCGTGCTGCTCGGCATCCCTTTGCTATTCCTACTAGTTTTGACCTCGTTTTAGCGTATACTGTACGGAGCTTAGAGCTACACGAGCGCTGCCCCGACTTTTTTTTTTTTTTTTTTTTTTCCTTTTTACTTCAATCTGTGCGCCTCCACGGCTTCCTTCCCCATTCATTACCATTACTTCTTACGTGATCGTGTCTTTTTTAATACATTGAGCTCGATTCTACTTTCGCCCCGCACTTGCTCCACTTTTGGCTTTGTTGTTATTATTATTATTATTATTTATAACCGTTGGCTATTCTATGAGCTGAGCGGCTAATTAACGAATCATCAGCGTCGATAAGGCTAAACGCCGGGAATCCGATAATTCACGTTGGACTCAAAATTACAAAATCGATGTAGCCATTCCTCTCGCCTTTCCCCTCTCCGATTGTATCCTGCTGATTCAATAAAAAGCTCTGGGTCGGTCGGGCCAGAGTCGTTGACAGAGTTGCTCGAGCTAATGGACAAACTCGAGGGCCAACTTTGTCAATGTGACCCACACCACCGAGCTCATTAGCAAGTCAAAGAAGGCATGGCAAAATTTTACGTTCACGGCGACCACGGCAAAAGCTCATCTGCCCGAGCTTTTAATTAGCGATGCGATCGCTCTCTAACCGAGAAAATATACGTAGGCCACAAACGTTTTCCTTTTACCTCTAGTACTTTATGGACGACAACTTTGTGAAATCTTTCGTAAGCGTGTATGGATTTTTTTTTTCCACCCCCAAATAGTCTTACTCTGGCATCGGCCTCGAGGAACATTCAATTGATAAGTGTACTTCTTGGACCATTGGCGTTTGAGTGTCTGTACTCGATAAAAATTTTATTTCACTTGACCCGTGGAGCTAATGATGCAATGAGTTATTATCGAACAAGATTGAGAGATTGAGGTTGGGTGAAAGATTATAAATTAAAAAAAAAAAAAAAAAAAAAAAAAAGAAGTTATAAGTACATGGATACTCACTTTCTTTGTACTGCAGAACATTGGGGTGCTTCTCGTGAATGACGACGCACCGGTAGCAGGATTTCCTGAAACAGAGGACAGGGCATTTAATGGACTTTTCAAATTTTCGTAATGTTTCGTTCAAGGATTGGTTGGCCGGGTAGTGTAGTACAGGCAATTAATTTGTACCAGTTGTACGCGAACGTTGGTATTTTTGTAAAAACTATAAAATACAATTTCGTTAATGGAACCGCGTGGGCGTATACACGGTATTGGTTTTCATCGAACAAACGGCTACCAATTGTATAGCAGAGGAAAGGCAGGGAAATTAAAATCGAAGATGAAAGTGGGTCGCGAAAGAGCTCTCCGAAACTCCACATAAACAAACGGCCTTTTCCATTCCCAAGTATTTGCGTTTCTCGTTCCGATGAAAACGTAAAGTCGGTCTTTTCCTCCTCTCGATTTATTATTATTTCGGGGAATGAATTTTCACTGCCCGCTAAAGCAAAATCAATGCCCCCCCCCCCCTCCATTAGTTCGTTCTTCCTCGTACACCCGCACGTACGTCGCTTACCTATACATACTTTTCCATCATTCGTCTGTTTTTCAATCGTCACGCTCCACTCGATAATTTTCTTTTGAATTGGAAAAATTGTTTGCCGTGCCCTTTCGCCTGGAGTAAATTTGTTATTTTTAAAATTTTTTCATCCATTTCAAAGCATCGCCCTCTATAATGGGGCTAGCGAGCCGGCAAGCTGTTGCAAACCTCTTCTCTCTAGCGGCCTCTGAGCTGAGCTTGTCAACTCGCTGGCCCCATACGCCTTCTAACGCGCACGAAATCACTCACCCATGCACGTTGTAATAAGTATATGTCACGTTGCACACAGCTCAACCAAACGTAAATACATTTTCGCGGGTGCGCACAACACGACGACAGACTGCTGCAATGCATCATAGTGCGCAGCAGCGTGGGGGTTCTGACAAAATGTTTCACATGGGCATACGTGGGTAAACCTGCCCTCGGTTCGACTCCATCAGCACCAGCGCTGTCACGCACTCTTTGCTTCCCTCGCAGTCGCGGATGGAGAGCAGAGCATTGTCTCGCGTCTTGGGATCCTCGGAGATTGTGCGGGCACAACACGACCGTGCACGCAGCAGCTACCCTGCATGCAGTACGTTCAGATGTACAGTAGTACCCCCCCCCCTCCCCACGGATAGGCGGAACGTAGACAGCAGTGGCATCAGAGTAAAGGGAGACGACGGTGGCGCAGGTGGAGGATGATGCAAGGACCCTCGACGGATAATGAAATCCTGGCGCAAAGTGACGCCTGCACGGGGTTATCTATAGACGCGCATAGTACAATGAGAGGTGCTCCAGCCGCGTTAATCTTTCTCCTTTCCCCTCGCTCGTGGCAGGCCGGAATCAATTATTCGGATCAACATGTAGGTGGGTTGTTGCTGTTGAACCCGCTCCGATCGAGGATTTCTCTCTGTTTATCCAGCGTTTGGTGCGTCCGCGACGACTCGAGCGTACCGATGCGTGTGAGGAGGAAAAACGCGAAAGAGCAGCTGTGGCAGCACTTCATCACCCGGTACCACAAACAACCCCACCAGAGGGATCCAATCGACTCCTCAGCAGACAGTCTCTCTCTCTTTTTTTGTTTTTCACACATATAGGTTTGTGTACTGTTAAACATACCGAGTGAGTATAATTTACAGTAAAGCTACCAGTTATTAGTTTTATTTAGTCATTTAACTCTTTTAGTTTTGTCCACAAATTTGTCCCCCGATGTATTATTGATTGAAAAACAAAGCTCAGCGGCACAAGCCCATTCAATCGAATGACACTCTGTAACGTATGATTTCTGCAGTCACGTTGCAAAAATATCCCGATCAAAAGATATCGTATGATACAGCATGAGAATTATCGACCGACATTTTGGGACAATTGTCGAGGGTATTTTGGCCAGAGGAAAAACAAAATCCACACAAAAAGAGTCGGAATAGTAGATCGAGTCAGCGTCCGGTCAGACGAACGAAGAAATAGGGAGACAGGCTGCATGTACGTATATGTGTGCATGCATGCATACATGTATGCAGAAGCCCAACGGCTGGTTTCCGTTTTTAATTAGAGTCCACTGCTCTGGCGAATGAATCGCTCGAGGCATTCGTCCTCTTTCTCTCTCCCACTCGAGTGAAAATCCGAGTTCGATCGCTCCTTCTATCGGCACTTCCAGGCCACGAGAACACTGGCGATCGAAGGAGGAGGGTTGGGGAGCAAGGGGAGGTTCAACGCCCCGATGAGCCGCTCGTTCTCTTTCGCCGCTTTCCTCTTGCTCGCGCGCGCACACGTGTAGGAGGAGGACAAAGTCAGAGCTTGCGTACACACGCACACACACCTGTATCATGAGGTATGAGGAGGCGAATTGAACGTGACTGCGCTTTTGGAGGGAACAATTAGTATTTTCGCGCGTCGAGTTAACAGACGGCCATCTGTTGCCGGTTATCGGACGAATAATCGATCGATTGGATCTGCAGCTGTTGTTGCTTCTTCTTCGTCAGGTATTCTCGAAGCTTCGTTGCTCCTATATGCTATCGTTTTTTCTCTTCCTTTACCAGCTACGTCACAGGTTTTAAAAATAACTTCATGGCTCCTTGAAATGGTATCGCTTCTTGTCTATTACGTGATGCTCCTTGGGAAAAACAATACGCAACGTCGAGAAATTGGTCATATATTCAATGGACCAATCAGGCGCGATCCTCGGGGTATACTCGCGAAATTGTCAAGTACTAGATGGTATAAGAAAAAACCGTCACCGAGAGCCTCGTTCCCTTGACGATAAATTTCCGATAAAGGACGAAGGGCTAAATCCCTCTCCCTATTTCTGCCTCGATTCCTCACACGCAAGCCCGCAATAGTGCCCACAAAGAAGTTCCTCGCTCATTCGCGATGTGGCGCAGATGAGGGGGAGGAGGAGGAGGAGTCGATTACTCCTCTTTGCGCCGAAAAACCCGTGCCTCAGACCTACACACTGATAGGTATATAAGCGCACGTGTCGGCGATCATTTCTCGCCCTGCCTTATGGGGAAACGAAGAACAGCGCAACAGCATATAGCGGCGAGACCCATACGTTGCTGCTGCTAATGCCGCTCCGAGGCTTCTGATGACTTGCTGCGCGTTGTTATAGCCGCGGGGGATCAAAGTTTCAGAGATAAGGTGTGGATGCAGCGTCGAGGCTGACGTGTTCGAGGAGGTAACTGCAACTTATAGACCAAGTGGTGCATGCTGCATGGCACGTGACGTGTTTATACGATAAATCATACATTTTTGTATTATTTCCGTATTGCATTTTGATGGAGAAAATCAACGAGTTTTTTGTAATGTGCGTGCACTTGAGTTACGGGGGGAAAAAAAAGGTTAATATATAGCCATTACGTTTGTACTAATTAATGTTAAAAGCTTGGCCAGCTGTTATCATTTGAGCGTGGGTTTGGCACGAGGTCCGTAAATGAGAGACATATAGATGATATATATACTTGAGTAGTACTTACTCGTCGACCAGGAGAAACTTGTCGCCCTCGTTGTGGAGGCAGGTTCCTTTGCTGGAGAGGATGTTCTTCGATATGAGAATCGATTGGCGGACGCCGCTTTGAAACCACGTGCCCTCCCATCGCGATGGAAACGAACATTCTGAAACATTAAACATCGAACAGCGATGGATTAAGCATTCATGAGGAGTACACGAATAAACTTATTATAGAAATTGAAACTCATAAATATTTTATTATGATTAACGGAAGACCATTATCTATAGATTAATGGGTTCGAGTATGTATAATATATATTTCTTTGAAAAATCATAATTATTATTTTCATCAAAAATACAACTCTACGTATCACATTGTTTATTTATCAAGTCCTGCATGTGATGCGAAACATCTGTCCTCAATATTGGCTCGCCGTCTGACCTTTTGGTATCACCCTGTGTGTTCGTGCGCACCGAGGAATTTTCATTGGCTTTGGTTGTTTTTTAATTAAACTTTTTCGTCCGCGTAGCAGCGTGTTTTATTCACGAAATCGAAGAAAAATAATACCTCGCTGGTAGTAGGAGATGAAAATTGCAAATTGCATTATTGTCCACTCGGGCGAGTTCATTTTATGAATTCTCATCGAGGGCTGTCTTTCCCCATAAATTTTTGTCAATTCCGTATCTCTATTTGCATTCTCAAAATTTCATGAGTACTTAATAGACACCATTTACCTTACTTTCAAAGAAAGAAAAAGTTTCCAATGAGTCCAATTCCAATCACGCTTACCGTCCGAAGGAAATAGACAAAAGGATTAAAAGACCTGGGCTCGATTGCCCTCCATTTTCGGTACGTATGCCAATGAAAATGTCTGTGCATTTTTTAAGAGTGTTAAATAACAAATAAACGTTTTCCGTGCACAGTTACCTAGTTTGCGATATTGAAGTTAATGGCATATTGTATACATTTCGCACCGAAACGAGGGATTGAAACATCCTTCTCTACCCAAACTGAGTATTTATTTTTTAATTTTTTTTGTTATCGCAGAGTCGATGAGTTGCAATTTTTCGTCAGCTAAAAGTCTCATTGGCAATTTGTGCATGGCCAACAGGGCAGAACTAATACTGCATGTGTACAGAGCCAACCCTATAGCTCCGACCTCAGGGGCATTATTTCCGAGGAAAAGGGACGGGAGGAAGGGAACGAGGCAGCATTTGGTCCGCCGGCTGCGGAGGGAGGTAGAGGGAGCACAAAATCAATACCGCGTACCTATACTGTTTTGGTGTTTCGTTTTGCAAATCGCCCTCGGCAATTCCTCTGTGTAAGGGCCAAGCTCCACGTCTCTTTTTCTAGCTATTTCTCTTGCTCTCTGCATCTCTCGTCGTAACTTTTACAGCGACTCTCCATGGGTATATAGATGCCCTTAAGTATTGGGTGACCCGCGCACGCCCTCGCGCGTGCACATACATCAACATGAGTGTTGGTGATCTTTGTTATACCATGGATATGTTACTCGTCGACTCGTTTGAAAAAAAAAAAAAAAAAAAAAACATACTTTGACCAACCAGGAGTAAAACTCGCAATAGTTGCGACGACTTGATGAAGTCATTGAGTGATCCGCGGAGGCGTGAGCTTTTCGCTTTTTTAGGCGGGCGTTTCTAGTGAGACACTATAGTGCCCCAGCAAGGGGGGGGGGTGGGTCAATTCGTTAAGCTGCCGGTAGGAATTACAAGGAGGGAGGTGCGAGAGTTTCGGCAGCACATTGCCGAGTTGGGCATAAAACGTACTTACTACACGTCCGCCTGCTGGAAATCGCGGAGCAGAGAGAGAGAGATAAATAAATGCGGGGTTGGAGCTGAGGTGGAGGAAAAGGGAAGAGGAATTATACGAGCTTTTAAAACCAGCGCACAAAGGGCGAAGCGCGGGAATTACTTTTTGCGCTCTACTGCTACGGCGCGCACGTGCAATGCCTTTTTTAAAGGGTACAACGTTAATTACAATGGATTTATGATGTTCACAAATTTCGGGTAATTATTTTGATTGCCCGTGCTCTTCGTGCGTCGCCTCCTTCTTTTTCTCTCTCTCCTTTTTTTTTTTTTTTTTTTTTTATCCACCAGCAGCAAGAATTTATCGAGTCACGTGTCCGGAATCGTGTATTTAATATCCACAACTGCTTAGTAAAATACTTTTTTTGTTTTGTTGAGGTAAGAGTTTTTTTTTAATTTTCTGAACACAGGTCGTGTGAGAACCAACTTTTTTACTCTTATACTCGGAAAGTTTCCACCGCAAACGCGTGGAGGTAAACTCGATTGGACCCAGTAAGTATTTTCAATTCTAAATGAGCAGTTCCGCGGAAATCTGTGAATCGGAAACGAAGGGACGTGAGCCGAAAGAAGAAGGAGACGGGGAAAAAGGGAGGGGAACAAAGTTTGTTTATTGACGACGAGGACAAGGCGGACAAGGTGGGTACCCATAAATTTCTGTCAGAGTTTCAAAAAATATTTTTATTCGCTCGGGCGTTCCGTCCAAACTCTTCCAGTAAATAAAAAGAACAGAAGAAGCAAAGAAAGAAAGAAAGAGCCGGGAAAACTAAAGAGCGGAGGACGGGGGGGGGGAAGCAAGTTTTCCGCGCCTCGACGCCAGTTATCATCGCCCAGCCTCTAGCCGTAAAGTCCCTCGCGCAGGGGCCACCTCCTCTCCCGCCGCTGGAGCAGAGGCTGCACGCGGGAGAAAAAAAAGAAAGGCGCGTGCAATTAAGTTCAGCGGGTAGCAAGCCAGAGAGATAGCCCGTCGAGATGGAGGGAGGGGGCGGGGGTGAATGTGCAGGCTGAATGGTAGCTCCACGTACATTCGTATAGCATATATTATACGCCCTGTACTTATACTGGCTTGCAGCCTTACCTACCTACCTACCTACCTACCTACCTCGTAAACTCGGGCAAATTTAAGGAACGTTATTCTGCTGCTGCCCGGTTGGCTCTCGTTCCTATTATACAGGGGTGTAAAACTTCGACCTCCCCCCCTTAACTCTTGTTTGTTCTCCGTGTTATCGTCCACGTTTTTACGCCTTTATCTATAGTTTTCTTTTTCTTTTTTTTTTTTTTTTTTTTTCGCTACAATATTGTCCAGAAACAAAAAAAACAAAAAAAAGCAGCAACAACCGTAAGCATTCATCGGGCTTATTACCTATCGATCACTTTTCCGTGCTATGTACAAGGTATTGCTATAAGGTCGAAATTGTTTCAACGTCACGGGAGTGAAATTTCGTTGTCAGTATTTGTGCAGTTTATTGATATCTGGTTAATTTCTGATGGCAGATTTTTTGATTCCCAAAAGCGTCACCCTCGAGCTCGAAAAAATCCAAGAGAGAGAAAACGAGCGCTTCGAAAGGGGAGGTCCTTCGCCTTTCCTTTCATTTGGCTCTGTTTCTGCATAAAAGTTACTTATATTCTTTTCGACAGCAGACAAGTAGGCAGGCGGGAGGGCGTATAGGGTATGAGTAGGCGACTGCCGCAAAACTCCCGTAATTCAGCAGCCCGTACCCTCGCAGCAGCAAAGTCAGTCCAAGTGACGCCAAAATTTCTTGATTAAGACGCTAGGTATACACGATGATCGCTCGGGTGGTACGTAGTAGCAGTAGTATTATATATATATATACACTACCTTGTACCAACAGAGACGGGACCACGTGCCATTTTTCACTGTCACACCGGGGCTCGCAGTAATAACGCGCTCGAGCTTCCTCAGCCGTCGCTCTAAGCTCCGCTTCTGCTCTTTCACCACACCCTCCGTCCCTCCGATTTATAGGTCCACGATGAAGTTCGTCATGGGCCACGTGGCGTTTATTACGTTTGATTTGAATAACTTGAACGTCTCTTTTTTCATCCAATTTCGCACTTTATTGGGGCAAACAGACTTTTATTATTAAAATCCACATGATATCGCTCCGTTAAAACTCCGACCGACAAACATCTGATATATATATATATATATATATTTTTTTTTTATATTATAGTGCTCTACGTCCGGCTCCTATAAAGGGCACTACTGAGGGCACTTAGCACTTGGGAGAAGAAAGGGAAGAGGGATTGGGAGGCGCCTCCCATTACTGGGAGGGGGGGTAGGGGGAATTAGGCAATTTTGCTGTGAGAAGGTCGCCTATAAACCCTCCTCGAGGAGCATTGCGTGGTGAAAAAGCACATGTGAACAATCACAGAGGTACTTCCCCGAAAAGTCGCACTGGCCGGGAATCAAAGCGCGGTCTCCCGCGTGCCAATCCACGACCTAGCCGACCGAGCCACCGCGCGCTCACCTGATATATATATATATTTATTTATCCTCATAAGAGAATGTGATTTTTTTTTCTCTTTTATACCATAATCTCAAAGCAAATCAACTCTCTCGTTGAGATATGGTACATTGGATCGAGCAGTATAGTTATGACTACGTGGGTGAACGGTAGGTTGTGTATATATATTACCAGGAGAATTGTTACAATATATATTACCAATACGCGTTTGTGTGGTCTCGGGGCTGCTGGCTTTATATCGCGAATCCGGATGATATCGTACACCACGACATGGCAAAACAATTTCGCGGCTGTGGGATTTCGCGCGTTTTTTTCCTTGTTCTCCCTCCGGAGTCGAGCCGATGGAACGCGTCGAGGAGTCACGGGTAAATTGCTGCAGAGCGCGGGGGATTGCTCGGAAATTCGCGTGATGCTTTCCGAGTTTTCGCACGAAATATTCGGCAGGGCCGACGGCGCGATAAACGAAAAACGTAAAACCTATCCACCACCCACCTGTTGTACATAACGCGCCAATGTAGGTACACCTCGTACTTTCGATACTTTCGGTCATTTTCGATATCCCGTCGGCTATATTGCTATATAACGTCAAAAGAGATTACTCTCGGTACATACACGCGTACCACTACCTATACGTGTACATATACATACCTATATAATACCAATGGCATTCGAATTCAAGCGCACACTGGTGCAGTGATATTATTGTATACGTGGGTAGGTAGTGGTACACGTGTATGTACTACAGACACACTCGAAATAAAAGGCCGCCGGGGACTCACTGGTACGCGAAATTCCGATTCATCCAAAGCCACGTACATATATATAGATAGGGTACCTATATAAACGCGCAATAT